TTCAGAGAATGTCAGTAATGTCACTAAGGAGGAGCTGCTGGCATCTGAAGTGGTTAAGAATTACAGAAACTCAGTCATTGCGCTTAAAAATGAAGGTGAAACAGAAAGTAACATATCTCAGTACAAGGAATCAGTGAAGAAACTACTGAATATACAAGCATGAGAAGAGCAGATTTGCAGGTACACCTGATCATTACAGACATGTTCAACCACTGTGTTAGTATTTCTGATGATATGGATGTATAATTATTCAGAACTTGGGCCAAAAAATGAAACTTGACTATGAGTTAAGTCCTGTCCATGAATCTTGTCTTTTGAATAAAGTATGTTTGGATCCATACTGGTAACTTGAATGTTTTATTCTGTGTTTTGTTATAGCATGATCAGTTCAATCCTCTTCTTAATCACATTCTGATTCCTCACACTTTTTTGGGCATTTAACCTAGAGCAACAATGTCAAAACTAATGAAATTAGTTAATACTTCTAGTTCCATTGATTAAAAGTCTGAAAATTAGGAGCTCTAAATGCTTTTCAAATGCCATTCAGATTTTTGCCTGTGTGTAAAATGAGGATAATGTTGCCTAAGAGTCTGACTTGGAGAAGTGTTGAAGCACTCTGGACAGTTGAGTTTCTCAGTTATTGTGAGGCAAAACAAATATCCTATGTAAAAGCACCTGTCTCTAAAATAAGGGAGTAAAATAAGGTGGAAAGTGGGATGATAGTGAGAAGGTGAACCAGTAGTTGTTGAGAAGATCCCAGGGTACCTGGGACGGGAAGAATGATGAGAGTTGGTGAGGTGGGTTTGTAACTAAATAGAAATGGACTGAGCCTTGTTATCCTCAGGCTGCTGACTTCTCTCTTGAATGCTCCCAGGCTTTTCAAGGAAAGAAAAAAGGTTGTAGCATCCTATGTAGCACAGAGAAAGGATTATATGGAAAGAAATTCATTTAAAACTCTGGAATCACAATTTGATTGCCTTCTTACAATTAAGAAAAAACTCCTACCAAACCTTGAAAGGACATAAATAAATCTTACCTTTATTCTACCTTCCTGGTAGAATAAAAGGAAGATTTCAATTTAGAGAGAAAGTCATTCTCTAGAAGGGGTAGAGGGGGTTAAGGATTCTGCATACCTATAAAAGAGCTGCCCATGCCAGCAGCTCTTTGAGCAGAAGCAGTGTAAGAAAAAAGGCATTGAAAGCTGAGGGGAATTGATTCCTGCAGCATTCTGTGTGCTGGACTCACTCCCTGCTAGGATTTCTCACTGTGTGCTCTGTGTGTACATACAGCCAAGGAGTGCATCTGTTCTCACTGCCAAAACACTGTCAGTTTAGGAAGGATTCTTCTTAGGTCAGGATTGTTTTCATATGGTGAGAGACAGAGTTTAATGCAGCATTTTAATTCCTATGAGAATTTGCCAGAGCTGTACTAAGACAGAAAATGTTTGTACTGTAATCCCAATTTTGCACTGATGGACCTGGTTCTTTAGTATTCCTTCCTTTTGGATGTGGATTAATGTAAAATTTTAGCAGAAGCCTAATATGGGGAAAGTTTCAGCTGTTATCAGGTTGCTCCTTTATCCAGGGACAATGAGGGTAATGTTTTAAATTCCCATTTGAAATGGGAACATCTGTGTAATTCCAATCTTCTCTGAACAGCCATGAAACCAAAACAACGGAGGAAGTAAGTGCAGTTTGACTCAAGAGAATGGGGCCTGAAGTTGTGCCTGGCTCTGTTCCAGAGGCAGTTTGGTTCTAGTATGTGCACAGGAGAAATGTTTCCTTAATTAGCTCTGTCAGTGCCTGCACAAGGGCTGCCCTAGGAGCCAGCCTGGGCAGCCAGTGGTGTGTACAAGGCTGGCAGGAGTGAGGCCCTGAAATGTCTTAAGAAACCTCTTAAGTTTGCTTTTCTCCACAAAGCTGTCCTTCTGTACTCAGGACATGTGAGCACCTGAGAAAATCCTCTGCAGCAGAGGACATCCCAGTTTTCCTTTGCTTTTCACAGAATGGACCTAAGCAGAACTCTGGAAGTCATGGCTGAAACAACAATTTGACCTTATCAATAATGTCTGGTAGTAAGAACAGCATAGGAAGGGAAACTGACTTTTTTATTAGCTTCACAGCTAATTGATGGAAAACCTAAAATGCACAGGCTTCTCCATCTCTCTCAGAAGTGTTCAAACCTAACTTATATACATCCTATAAATGTTTCAAGTAACAGAGGCAGGATTTAAGGTGACTGTCTCCTGAGCACCAAGTGTCTCTCCCAAAAACAGATGATGCCTACTGGCCAAGAGCAATGTTGGGATAAAACTCAAACTTACACTTGTGATTACTGTACAGAACTTGTGTAATGCAGTGGGCAGGACAAAAGGCATCTTGGATGCTATTTTGAGCTCTTGGATGTTCCTCTCTGCTTTTCTGCTTCTCCCTCTAAACTGTTTGTGTTTGAAGGTGACTATTTCTCTGTGACTGTGCAGAATACCTGGAACATTGGGATCTTAACCCCTGTGGGAGCCTTCCCAATCTCAAGGATGTAAAATACAGCACATATTTTTAAGAAGTAAACTACACATCTCTATTTTACTGTATAATACTTCTGCATCATCCATCTCTCTGGAAGCCTGTGCTGAAGTTTAAAAACTGAAGAGTTAGAGATTAGGAGACTAATAGGTCAAAGCAGCCCTGCAGCACAATAATAAACACATCTTTAGCACTTATTAATGTCTCATGTACATTACAATGTAAATGAGGTGTGCATCCTTCTGTGCACAACTGTGGGACCTTTCCTTTTATCCCCCATATAAACATTCCTGAGAATGGACATTTTTTCCCCGTTTTCAGGCATAATGATGCTGCAAGCACAAGGAAGGGATTAAGGGGCAGTTGCCTAAAAAGGGATGTGCTGTCTGCACAAATCATCTTGCTACCCATTTCTTGCTTTCCCTCATACCTAAAATGTATTTATTTATTTACTTTCTTGTGGCTCTCTTAGTCTATCATGAAATAGCTCTGCTATTGGGCTTCATATAACCCTTTTTCTGCCAATTTTTTTCCTCTCTCTGTCAACAAACCCAGAAATCTCTTCAGAACATAATCTTGCTTTGATCATTCCCTGCTGTCCCAGAAGCATTTGCTTGTGGGACAGATAGCATTTTTGATTTTGTCTCCTATATCTTTTTCTGGTAAGAATTGAGGTAGGTCCCAGTTGCATGATATGATTCTTCTCCAGAACATCATATTGAAGGTAAGACTCAGTGGACCATCAGGGTGCTCTGAAGTGCACTCTACTAATCTGGAGATTAAAAAAACAGGGAACCAGGAATGCCTGAGGCTTGCTGCAGGCAGGGAGTTACTTTTCTGAGAGAGAAGGGAGGTGAAAACCCTCCTTTTTGAAAGCAAGTGTTTAACTACCTATGACTTGTTCTATTTTAAAAAATCCTACAGCTGTATCAACCCCATAAGATAAGCTTTTCTTCTTTTTTGCCTTGACTCAAGCTGCTCTGGAGGGTGACTGATAGCACAGAGGAGCTAAAAAAGCTGGAGGCACTACTGGTTTTGCTGTCAGCAGATGCTGTGTGGGGCACTCAGGGCACAGCTCAGCCTGAACTGGAAGAATGGGCACATAAGGACTTGGGGACATGAAATTAGTGCAAGTGTCAGGTAAGGAAGGGATTGCAATGTGATAGAACCTGTCAGTTTTCAGCTGAGCTCTGTAATATTTGTCTGAGAACAGTAATATCTGAACAGCACAGAGTAGAAAGGTGATGGCCCACATTCACAGTTTGTTTCCACACTGATACTGTAAGAGCTAAGTTCCTTAGTCAGGCTTTTGTGGCTGCAAGTTCAGCAATAGATTATATATATATATATTTTGGATTTAAGCATCTTCCCCTATCCTTGATGCATGGTTAATCACGACTCAGATAAAAAATGCATTCTTTGCAGCATTATAAATTAATGAGTGAGGGGCATTGTTTTCCATAGTGCTGCCTCAAACTGCAAATCTTACTTTGTGAAACAGGGAGGAGACCTTGTGCACTCTCCTGTCTTCAGAAACAAAAAAATAAGTAGGTATTCCAATAAAAAAAAATCCCAGATATTAAACAACTAAGTCTAGCACAAACTGTGTATGCCTCTGTAATTGAAGATAACAGCATACTCAGCAATGCTTGGCAAAACCCTAGGCTAAGAAAACTGAAACACATTATCCAGCTGAAACTACAGGGCAATGCTTAGGTCAAGAAAAGACAATTTTTCTAATCTAAATTAGATGAAGCTACCTGCATGTAAATTCTGTATCCTAAAAACTACATGCAGTTATGTGGCAATAATAATTGCATGTATATTCCCAGATTTTCTGGAGAAATTTTATTTGGAATAGAGTGCTGCAAGGCCTTGAAGTTTGAATTGCCTTCTTGGCAGCACTCGAGACTATAAAGGGAACACAAGCAGAATTTTAATGGCTGTATTCAGCTTGAAGAAAGGCATCCAAAAGTACAGACCTAGTTCTTTACCAAGTGTTTCTCTGAGTTTAGGTTTTGCCTTTCTTTGGCAGAAAACAGGATCATTTTGACCATTTCAAACAAAAAGACCATTTCATAAGTCACCTGTTTATTCCTGTATTACATGGGATGTTTACTTTTTTGGTAGCAAATAGACAAGTACAAAAATAACTACAGCAGGATTTCTCATCAAGTTAAATAATTCTCTGCCACACAGACGTGCCAATACTGCAGCTGCATTGAACCTGGGGGAAAGTGTTACAGTGTTTTTCAGGCATTAATCTGCATCAGATTAGGAACCAAAATGCTTCAAACAGTGGGAGCTGTGAGTGGGTGTTTCCTACCCAAAGAGACAGGGAGCTGTGCTTCATCTGCTGAGAATTAAATCAAAACCCAAATATTCTGAACTAAGTTATCACTGCTTCTGTGAGAGAAGTAAACTGGTGTATGGGGTGCATTTTTTAAATCCTGTTTGTTCCAGAGGCAGGATGGTGTTTCACAGATTACCTCTGACAGGAGCATGTTTTATGAGCAGTCTGGACATGGTTGTTCTTGTCCTTACAGGTTTATAGTGACCCCTCCTGTAGCTGCAGCGCCTGGCTGTGAGGGCAACAGTGCAACAGCACAGGCAGAGGAGAGAGGAGCAAAGGACAACAGGAATCAGCCAGACCCCCAAAGCTGCAGCTTCCCAGGCAGCTGCCTCGTTGTCTGATGTGGAATTCCTCCCACTGTAGCCTTTGGTTTCATTGAGGTGTTGCTTGCTGCTGTTCAGGTGAGGAGGGGTGGGCGCGTGGGATAACACCTGGGCAGGCCTGGGGCTCAAAGCTGAGTGTACAATCTTGTCTGAGCTGGTGATGACCGACCTGCTGCTTGTCCTTTTAGCAAAATCAGTGGCTGCTGGGGAAGTGTCTGCCCTGGAATAGGCAGTACCTTCTGCAGTTCTCTGCACTGTCAGACTCCAGCTGGGGCTGGCAGTGTTTGCTGGTAAGCCATGGCTCATGGCAGCAGGTGGAGCTCGGAGCAGAGGAGAACCTGACGTGGTGGCATTGTGATGTTGGCATCTTCCCCCCTCAGGGGTCTTTGGGCTGTGCTGCCTCTCAGATTTACTTGCTGAGGAGTAAGCATTTGGCTCTTGGGATTTCAGTTTCTCAAAAATGAGAAGATCTGGATCAATCCCTATGGAATTAGGATAATGTTAGTTTATTGACAAAAGCTTGTCTGCACACCCACAAAAAGGAACCATGGAAACAGAGGCAGGGCAGGGAGCCCAAATAATGCCCTTTTGGATTGGAGGTGTCACTGCCTCGGGTTATGGGACACCTTATGGGATGCAAGGGATTTTGGGATTGCACATGACTTACTATGGGATGCTTAGGGAAGGAACCAAAGGTGAGGAAAGGGTAGTGAGGGCAGGGAAATCCAGGAAAGCTCTGTGTGTGACAGTCTGCACCAGCAGCTGGAGGCAGGCTGTACCATGGGGGCTCAAACATCCCAGTGGCAGCAGCTGTTGAGTCTGGGGTCCAGACTGGGCACCCTGAGAGCATCTCAGCAAGCTGCTGGGGGACTTAGCATTGTATGTATGTGTGTGTATATAAACACATATTTATATATTTTCACTAACACAAAAAGCAGGATGAGGCTTTTGGTGCTCCCTGTGTTGGTGTGTTTGCTTTATGTGTTTGTCTGTGTTACCTCTGTGCTTACAGGGCATTTGGTCAATGAAAATAAATGTTCAGCCTTGTTACTGCTTGAGTCTGGGGACATGGAGCAGTGGCAGCCTCCTCTCTCAGTGTCAGAGCTGGGAGGGTATTTTAGCCAAGCACAGTACTGATGAGGTAGCATGAACTCAGAGCATGAATCTTGAGAGCAGGGTTGAATCTTCAAGCTCCTTTCTCACTCTGAGTGGAAGAAAGGGGGGAATTATTTTCAGAAGTAGGTTTATTAATGAAAAAGGAAGTAAGTCTTCATGTTTTTTAGCATTCTGTGTTACTTCAGGAGATCATTTAGCACAGCAGCTGACCTGGTATCATTTTAATATTTCCTAGAGCTGCTCTGTTTTCAGCCTTCATAAATGAAATGCATAATTACCTGTTGTGATGTTGTACAAAATGACATCAACTCCAGCCTTTAGAATGCAGCTTTCCAAAGCTGGGCATGACATGTGCAGGCAGTTCCTGTTCCTATGAATGGCTCCATGGTAGAACACTGCTAGATTGCAGGAGACTGGAACCCATAAAGAACAAAGTTGAGCTTCTCAGCAGAATGACCATTGCATTTTGCATGTTATGATGTTATTTAATGTCAGAAGTTCATTATATTTGCCCAGATCCTATGGGAGGAGAGACCAGATCCTGTGGTTCTCTCATTATCATATAAACTAATTGAGCATACAGTCAAAAGAGAACTTACATCCTTATTTTACATCTGGACTAGAACAGCCATATGAGTGCTACTTCTGTTTCTCATTAAATAATAACTGATTTAAAGCCCTTTGAAATGCCCTCTAATGTCTCTGTTTAATTAAGATAGTAACAAATTTTGTTTGAATATATATGATTACAAAAAGGAGATTTCAAGTTTGCATTTTTTATCTCTGTAAGTATCCAGTCCTGTGTGGAGGGATATGATAAAAAGTTTGTTGTCGAGATAGGAACAATCTTGCTGAAATGTATGTAATTTTTCTCACCTCACATTATTTAAGACAGAATTTGACTCTTCCCAGGATTGCTGCTGGAAGTTATTTATGTCACTGTCAGGTTGTGAATGTCATATTTTTTGCTCATAATTCAAAATATAATCTAAATTTATATTGACTTTTTTTAGTAACTGGTACCTCACTTTCATCCTCCAAAACCATATCCCAACCCCTTTCGAGTCTGGAGAGTTTAAAACATTTAGGCACCACAAACATGCAATTCATGTATCCTTCTAAAATACACTCCTGTAGAGTTCAAGTGCAATGTGATACAGACAAAGTACAAGGCTTAGGACAAAGGATGATTTTGTTTATTTTTACTCTGAGCCTGAGTTTACCAGAGAAAAGGGGTGGCCAGCTGAATAACTGCTATTATTTATTGCTATAACGTTAGTGTTACCTGGTTTGCATGGTATAAACACAGAATAAGAGAGAAAAGAATACTCTTGTATTTCAGAGAAGGACAAACTGTGTGTCCCCTCCACTCTCCCTCTCACCATGTCCTAGTCTGATGCCATCCTGCAGGAAGAGAATGCTGTTGGAATCACTGTCACTGCTTGTTCTCTATAATACAGATGGGGATGAATACAGAAGAGTTACTCTCTTAATGCTGGTATTGCCAATTAAATTACTCTCTTAATATTGGTATTACAAGCTTTGTAACAAAGATCTAAAATTGCAAAGCAGGCCCTAAGATTTTAGTGTTCCCAGTGTAGTCTTCTGAAAAAATACAGACTATCAGTTTCCTTTCCATGGGACAACAATGTGCCTCTGCTTTCCTGCCTGAAAAAAAATAAATTATAGATCCTCCTTCCACCCCCTCTATTTCTTCTTCAAGTGAAGGGCTGTTTATATAAACATTACCCAAAATGGGGGGTTCGGTGTGTGCCAGGATGTTGCCTACAAGCACTCACCGTTCCTCAGAAGGCAGCAGCTCCTGCTGCACTGCTGGGGGGAGGTTTCTGCATAGCCCTGCAGCAGCTGCGCTCCCCTCCGCCGCGATTCCCGCAGGTCCGGCAGGAGCCCCGGGAAGCGCCGGATCCAGCAGTTCTTGTAGAAGGCAGTGGGTGAGCAGAGGCACTGGGAGCGCCCGGGCAGCCCCAGGAGCAGCAGCAGCGCTTGAGCCGCTGCCAGCAGCGCAGCCATGGCCCCGTGGCAGGGCCTCAGGGAGCCGCCCTCTGCCCCAGCGCTGCACCCGCACTGCAGGGAGCATCCCTGAAAAAATGAGGATGCTGCCAGGGGCATGAGCCAGGGCAGGGGCTCCTCCAGACAATGCCCATGGTGCTGTCTGGGCAGCTGCTGAAAGAGAGCAGACATTTAATGAGCTACAGAGGATTATAAAGAGTTATTATTGGTGTTCTCTAACTTAATTATTTGGAGGTGGGTCTTGAAACACAAAAGGGACAGGCTGTTTTTAGTCATTCAGAGAACTTGTTTCTGTGGTGCCCTCTTTGTGTCTCTTGTCCTCAGACCAAGCCACGCAGACACGGAGCTTGAGATTTGGTGAATAACAGCAAGCTCAGCACCTTGTTCCACCTCACTCTGTTCTCTGTTAGACTCAGTACAGAGAAACAGCTCTGCCTAGGATCTGAACACTTTGAGTTATCTGGTGACTGTGGAAATCTGCCTTCTTATGCTAACACATGAATCTCTAGCCAGAGGTGGAGATCTGTTCCCCTTCCTACACTATTTTGATTGCAAGAATAATAAAATTTTATTTGTAAAGGTCTAGAACCAGATGAACTCTCTATGACTGGGGAGGGCTGGAACCTCCACTCAAGCTATGATTGTGTTCTCCCCATAATAACTTTAAAAACATTGAGCAGTCCATACAAGGTTTTCTGCTAGGAAAAGGCCTGTCAGAAAGAAAACACAGCTGACACACAGGGAGATGATTTTTCAAGTACCTGGTCTGAAACCTGAAACTCCCACAATTTTTTTCTTAATAGGACCAAGGCTGATCCCCGCTTCTCACGTTACACTTTTCATACAGAAAAGCTTTATAATATTACAATACAGGAGTTAATTTAAACCCAGTGGACTGTATAGTGAGGTTGAGAGACTTAGGCTGAATTACAGTTTGCAATAAAAATTGGGTGTTCAATACATAAGAATATTTTACACTGTGTTTTTACACTTCAAGATTGAGATCAAGGAATTTCCTCCTTTCCACATGAAGTGTAGATCAGTTAAGTGGAGTGGGGAGAGCATCAAACTCATTTTAATTATTTGGTCATTACAGTTTGAAAATGAACTGGCAGGTGTTACACAGCTCACTGGAAGATAAAAAAGCCCAGAGCAGGATCAACCCCTGTTGATCTAATAGCAAGGCCAAGGCATTATTTTATTCATTGGAACCATAATTAGGAGGATTCCAAATAAAAGTCTGTTGTGGGGAATATGAGAATTAAACTGTTAGAAAGAAGGTAAGTGAGTAATTCTTCAAGCCTCTATCCTGAAAAGCAGCTCTTGGCACTTGCGTTGTTTTATTTAGTTTTGGAGTTCGATATTTTCATCTCTGTGATAATCAGCACTTAAAACCTTAAATACATTTTAAAATGCCTGATAGCTTGCACTCAGTGGACTGCACAGGGAAGCTTTTAGACATTTATCTACAAGCACTATTGACAGTGTATTTTTTAAAATATTTGTTTCAGCTTTCCAAATGTCCCAAGGAATCACTTGATTTGGAACACACTCAAAATTTTGACGGACATGCCTGTATTTTGGCATTACATCCTGTAGTATGAGTAAGTGTGATTTTCAGATCTGTTTTGTTCTGCAAGATTTGCATGCAAAAATGTTGATTTCTGATTGCTTTTCTCACTCCTACTCTTTCCATATCTCCAAGAAGAGAAACCTGGAAGACTCTGAATAATCTGGGGAAGCACTTAACAAGGAGATGCAAGGTATTCTTTCCTCCTCCTCTTTTCCTGAATAAATTTTAAGGGCAGAAATAGCTGCAAGGAAACTTTCTTTTTAATGAAAGATAAAGCGATTAAAACAAGTAAATAAATGGCTGCTTTAGGCAATTTCCTTTAAAAACAGAAAATTTCTAGTAAATTTCACCATCTTCTGCCAGCTTCCCCTTAATTTCACTTTGACTTTTCAATGGGAAATGTAAATTTAGTGCTGAAATTTTAATTCACAGATATTTTGCAAGAAGGAAATGCCCAAGTCTTACCTGCAAACCAGGGACTGATTTTCCATGCGCTCTGCAAAGAGGGACCAAGAGGCTGCCACTGATACAGGGGAGTCTGTGGCCAGTACCAGACCAGCAATTCATGTTATTTAGGAACTCCTTTCATCCGACTCCTCACATTTCTTCCTGGAAAACAAAAAGGTAGGGGGGCCTGTTTCCTGTCAGAATATGAATGGTTTTGCAGGCCTTTCAGTAAAAGAGATATAAATGGACCTGCCACGCTGGAACAAAATGATCTTTTTCATGATCCTTATAATCAGAAACAGTCCCTGAAGTTTCCCACCTGGGCCAGCAGTGAGAATGGCACAATCCAGGAGCTTCCCAGCACAAATGATTCATCACCAGGCATTAACTCTTTTTTTGCCAAACAGAAAGAAAAGCATGCACTTTTTCCATATGAAGTAACAGACATGTCTTGATTTTTGGAACTACATTTAGCTTTTATGGAATATATGGATCTATCACTCAGAACATGTAAAGACCAGAAAGGATCTATTTAGTTGTAGAGTTGTGGAATGGTTTGGGTTGGAAGGGACCCCAAAGCTCACCCATTTCCACCCTCTTGCCATGGGTAGGGACAAGTTCCACTATCCCAGGTTGCTCCAAGCCCTGTCCAACCTGGCCTTGGGAACTTCCAGGGATGGAGCAGCCACAGCTTCTCTGGGCACCCTGTGCCAGGGCCTCACCACCCTCATGAGGAAGAATTTCTTCCTGACATCCAACCTAAACCTGCTCTCTGTCAGTGTGAAGCCATTCCCCCTGGTCCTGCACTACATCCTGTGTCAAGAGTCTCTCTCCATCTTTCCTGAGGGCTCCCTTCAGGCACTGGAAGGCAACAATGGGTTACACTGAGTCCGTCTCTTCTCCAGGTATTGTGTGACTGAGCAGTGGGAAGGTGACAAGCTGAGAAGTGAGACCCAAGCAATTTCCCAGGTGAGGTAGGAACCTTGCCCAAGCCCTCCTGTGAATGTCAGTAATGAATTTAAGGAAATGTGCAGCATAATGCCATGTGTGCAGCATGAAGTTCCCTGCCTATGTTGTGCTCCACATAAGAAAACTGAATTTCAGGCCTGTGTTAAAATCATCTTTATCTCATTTTTCTGAGATTTGTACATGCATTTTCCCTTTATTATAGTAGGGGTAAGGTCAAAGTTTTAAGTAAACCAAGTATATTGATAATTTCAGAATATGTCACTGTAACTCTGTGAAGGTATAAAAGGTTTAAAAGACTAATGTAATGAATCATGAAATAATGAAATGTAAATATGTGGAAAAAAATCAAACTGAGTCTTTGACATTATTCAAATAATGTGCTTGCTTTCTTTCTCCTTTAAAATTTTCCTTGAAATCAAAAGTTTCTTGCAAAATATCTAAAGTCCAACAAAACAGCATTTTTTGAGAGAACTTTTTTGTCAAAAACAGCTATTAGTGGTCAGGTTTTGGTTTCGAGCAATGTATCACATTTTTAAAGACTCTGACCTTCTCTGAGGTTAGGGACAATTGGATCCAAAGATTCTGGTTTCAGTCCCACCCCAGTAAAAAGAGGTGAAATATTGCAGTTTGTCTTCCTGGGGCTTCACACAAACAGTTTTTTAAACCCTTGTTTCCAAGGGTTGCCAGGCCCTGAGATTCTCTCGGATCTTGGCTTCAGACTTATTCTGGCCAAGCCTCTGCTCCAAGGCTGGCATCTGAGTGTTCAAGCAAAGAGCAACACGAGTTTTACCAAGATTAGATTTATACAAATATATATCTAGTGGCATTGCAGATTAACTTCAGCCAAGTTTTATGACAAAAGGCACAATATTTAGCAAACACTAAGGAACAGATGCTGATTTATGGCAGAACTTGAACTGGGCAAAGGGGATGGAGTTTCAATCTTGTGGTGAATTTTACAGAGCTGGATACTGAGCGGAAGTCTTCCATGTGGATTACCATTCATTTTACCTAGTTATTATGTACTAAAATTCAGCACTGCTTGTCTACACCAGGATTAAAAAATATCTGCTGTTTTAAAAGCACCCAGTTGAGTCTCCTCCAGGCACAGCTGCACAAGAAATTCCTGGCTGTGGATGCACAACACATTTGTGCAGAGCAAACATCCCTAACAGGGGATCCAGCAGCAGACAGAGCACTCCAGCAGCCTGACCCCCGTTCAGGTTTTGTCAGGGAACATTCATTTCACCTGAGGGAGTTTCAAGGAAATTCCTTAAGGGGTCGGTGGTGTAAAAAATGGACCAGGTTGAAGGCCATTGCAAGGATTTACACTCTTCCACCTCCACTCTGCTGTCTGGGTCCTGGACTTCCCCATGATCCACAGAGAATGCCCACCACACACAGACTCTTGGGATGGTTGGGATGGCCTTTTTGCTGCCCAGACAAGCTCAGGAGCACACACCTTAGTATTAATCACTCAGATATTACTAATAAGTACTTGATAATAAACAATCTGCTTTCAAAAAACATGTGACTCCAAGTATCTTTTCAGTAGTGCTGCAACATACTTTTATTGCAAGGAATAAATAAGCAGCACATTAAAAGCAGAAAAAATAAATAGAAAATATTAGGGAAAAATGTCTTAGCAAGCGCTATTAGAAATGAGTGCTTGCTTTCTATTTTTTTCTTCTTTTTTTTCAATAGCATTGCTAATGGCACTGGGTAAGAAGTGATTTGTTTGGCTGCGAATCTGTAAAGAGAAATTACCTTTATTTAGCAGGTCATCCTTCACAAATGCTAGAGTTCAGCTGAAGTAAAATTATGCTCTGGTCAGTTCCTCTCAGAAATGCCAAGATCCTTTAGAACACCGACATTTTAAAATGCTGAAATACTGCAAGATAATTCCTATGTTCCATATATGCTTACTTTGTATCTTGTGACAGGGAAAATACTGAACAATTTGGCAAATCCTTTCCAAAAGACCAATTCCTGTCTTGAGTAATTCCACTGTTACTCAATGCACAGTTCCCTGGCAGTGCAGTACAATTCCCTGTACTGCACTGTGTCTCAGAGGGCAGAATGTGGCACTTTATATTTTATATTAGATAGCATGGATCCTTTAAATATCCCCAGATTCACTTCTAGTTCACACTTTAGACTAATAAGGCTGAAAGGAATTCAATTTTTCCACAGTTTTTTTTCACTCAGTGTGGTCCTTTCCTCAGAGCATTCAGGTTGGTGTTAATTTCTGGTTCTCAAGTATTATCCAGTGTCTCCCTGGCTTCACTTTTCTTTGTAGCAGTAACCCCTCCTGAGTCTCTGTGATTCCTTGCTTTTGCTATGCTGGGAAAGTCAGAGGGCTACAGAAATGTGTGCCCAGGCAGAGAAAGGCTGAGATTCTCTGTGTCATGGCTGAATGGTCTATTACAATGGAGTGGCTGTATGAAAAAAGCTTCTTCCATTTCCACGTCTTTTTAAAAGAAAAGAGTGATCTCTCTTTGGCCTTGGAAGAAATTCAGACATTAACTATGAGGAAATAGTTCAGGCACCAGACACAGGGAAAAATTATGTAGCACAAATGGCCAAGGCAACCCTGGAGCAAGAGAGCCTTTACTGACACTCTCTGGTGTCTGCACAGTCCCTTTCTTGGCACTTGAGAACCCTTTTTCTTGGTATCAATTTGTCTCTCAGGTACTGTAAAGAGAGGCCTGAACTGTCTAAAGCACCTTGAAGACTTTGCCCCAGGAGCTAAAGTCTAGGAGACAGGTATTGAAAAGCTGAGCAGAGTTACCTTTGTCTTCTTCTCTGAGTGGCTTGTTCTTCAGGACATGTTCTTTTGTCATAAACTCATTTAACATTTTAGATTTAAAATCTACCATGATTGTTTTCATGTTTGATGCTTCAGCATGTTCTTGAAGGATGATAGATAGTTCTTTGTATTTGTTTCAAAGATCATGCAAATCTTTTATGGCTCTGAATGACACATTTCAGCTTTGTAGCTCTAGAAATAGAGTTCCAACTCTGGAAAATACATTTCTTACTCACTTAAGGTACAACCAAAGTGATTGCAGGTGAAACAGCAAAGCCTTTTCTTTGATTCCATTATAATAACATGTACTATAGATCTTAGAAGAAACCAGTATAACTGTAGAGTGGAAGACAGACAAAATTATCCCCACAAGAGTGGAACAAAAGAGTAGCCCTTGCCTTGGTGCATTTGCAGTGTAAGTACTCTAGAAGCACATCACACAGGACTGATGAGTGTAGAAAAAACAAGGGACCTGTCCTGTCAGCACACTCTGACTTAGCACAACTGCCTGGCCCTGAGCCTGGAAAAAGCACAGAGAGATGACAATCAACCCAAAAAAACCCCAAAAACAACAACAACAACAACAACAAAAAAAAACCAACTGGGTAAGGAAACAGGATTTTTGTACAAGTGGCCACTGGGTACTGCTGACCTCTTGGGCATGTGAGAGCTCCTGTGGAAAGCTGTGGGAATCAGGGCCATCAGAAGTTTGCTGGCAGGAATAAAACACTACTGCATGCCAGAATTGATCCAGCTCATTAACAACCCTCATAGACTGTGAGGAAGAAGGACTGGAAATCCCAGGCAGAGTGGCAGGCATAGGGCTCATCTGGCAACATACAACCAGAGAAGAAATATTTCATCCACCCAGGCTGTGGTGTCAACACTTTGAGGCTGAACTTACCATAACTGACTACATGGAAAAAAGCATTCACCAATTAGGAGCTAACTTAAAAATCCATGAAACATAAGAGACTCCAAAGCAAATGTCTAAAGATGGCAATCCTGCTGTATTCCAACAGGACAGCTTGCTGGCCATGCCAAACATGAGATCTCTGTTTTCCTCGGGAGTAATCATGATTGCAATTGCTTGAAATGCCTGCCTGTGGGAATTAAAGGACAAGAAGGAATTAAGGGTTGGACTCCTACTGAGGGGTTGAGACACTTGTGTGGAATAATCTTTTGAAGGCTGATCCTGAAGCAGAGAAAAAAAACAGCCAAATGCTCATACTTTAACTAGGTGTAAGAAACTCAAAAAGCAAAATGTTGTGGTGCTTTATTAAGAACAGAAGACAGGAAAATGGAATTTGAGTATTAATTAAATAATGAGGAAGACTGAAAGAGGAACACAAACCAAGCAAACAATGAAACAGATCAGTAGGAAAGAGAAGGTGAGAGGTGATGGTGACCCAGCTAGTGAAGAGACCTCTTTTGGTCTGGTCGACATCCCATAGAAAAGGATTTCAGAACATGAAATGGGCCCCTCAAAAGCAAGATGATGAAGATGCTTTGAAGTGGGGTAGAAAACAAACACCTGCAGAAATCTACTTCACCTCAAAAAATGCTTTTCTAAAAGTCAGCAGAAAAGAACACCTGTAACTGAGATTGACATTTGTGTCATCTCCATGGGCTAGAGTTAAGATCAACAAAACAGTGATAAAGGATCACAATGCTAAAAAGTAAACAACCCTGTCTTCCTTAAAAGAGAGGGATAAAACCCCACAAAACAGACTAATACCATTTAAATGTTTTAATAGTGGGGAGTGAAAATCCCTTCTGAGCATGGAAAATAGGGAGTTGTCTGAAAACTAAGCAAGCTGCACAAACTGGACATGAGTCACACTACTGCTAAAGGGAAAGAGCTTCTATGGTCTGCAATATCCGAAGGAAATGTCTTTATAAAGATAAAAAATATATTTTGAACATCTTTATAGTACATATCAGCATGTAAGAATACACGCATGGCAGACTTCCCATCTGTTTTGGCAGATGGTAGGGTTTTTTAAAATAAAGGACTGTTGTTGTGCTTGAAGAATGTAACAAGGCAAACAGCAAATCTATCATTTTACCCTTGCCCAAGATGCTCAGTTTGCTGTTTCCTTATTCATGTCAAACAAATTCAGGGCTCAGTTGTTAATTTCCTCTTTCCTTGTTCATGTCAAACAAAGTCAGGACCCTGGTACGTAGCCCGCTCCTGAGATATCCTGTTCCAGGAACTCAGTGTAAATAGAAAAGGTGGAGCAGCAGAACAGGTTATGCAGCGTCTTCGCAGGGCAAACCAGGGGCTGGGACACGCAGGGAGCCGAGGGTCAGAGCAGAGTCCCCTGTCGCACTTGCTATTCCCGGGTCCCTGTGATGCTCTGGCCGTGCAGGGGGAGCCCCGGGGGTTTCAGCTGGGGAAGGGATGCGGCAGAGAGGGGGATGCGATGGCACCAGGCTGGCTGTGCCGCTCACCCGCTGCTTTTTCCCTGCGCGAGTGCCTGGGGAATGCTGCCCCTGGCCAGGGATGCAGCGGTACATTTATGGCAAGGGGTTAGAGCTGCGGCTGCAGCTGCGATCCCGGCCCAAATCAGGAGAGGGGAGCACCAGGGGGGATCGCTGCGCCTCTGGGCTGTGCCCTGGAGCCCAGCACCGGCCTTTCCACCGTGGCCCGGACACCCACCCTGCCTGGTCCCGGGGGATGCCCTGACGGCCCCCCCGGCGGGCAGCGCCGGAGCGCTCAAACATTGCCTTTTTCGGGCTTTTTTTCTCTTTCCTCCCTGTGTGCGGTTGTTTTGTTTTTTTTTTTTTTTTTCGCTTCCTCTTGTCACTCCTTGCAGGGCCGGAGCGGCGGCAGCGCTCCCGGCATCCCGGGGCCGCTCCGCCCATCCCGGCTCGGCCCGGCCCGGCCGGCGGAGGAGGAGCCGGCGCGGCGGCTCCGGCCGGGCTGAGGCGCGGCCGGGCCCGCGGTGAGCGATGTCCCTGGCGGAGCGGCGGCGGCGGCGGCAGCAGGAGGAGGAAGAGGAGCGGGAAGGGGAAGCAGGGGATGGGGCCGGCGCCGGGGAGGAGGTGGTGCAGATCCGGCTGGGGGACAAGTGCTACCCGGTGTGCAAGAGGAAGCTGATCGAGCAGAGCGACTATTTCCGAGCGCTCTACCGCTCGGGCATGCGGGAGGCAGGGCAGGGCCAGGAGGAGCAGCTGCTGCGCGGGGGGCTGAGCGCCCTGGGGCTGGAGCTGGTGCTGGACTTCATCAACACGTCCTGCCTGGCCAGGCTGGAGCAGGAGGAGGGCGGCGAGGAGGAGCCGCCGCTGCTGGAGGAGCTGGTGGAGGCCGCGTCCTACCTGCAGGTCACGCCCCTGCTGCGGCTGCTGCTGTCGCAGGTGCGGCTGGGCAACTGCTTCGAGCTGCACCGCCTGGCGCAGGTGTACGGCCTGCAGGACCTGCACGACGCCTGCCTGGACTTCATGGCCGCCCACTACCACCAGGTGCTGCGCAGGCCCGACGCCCGCCCGCACCTCCTGCTGCCCCCGGCGCTGCAGCAGCAGCTGCGGGAGCGGCGCATGAGGGGCACGGCCACCCTGGTGCTGCTCGGGGACTTCATGGGCGCCTGCCCGCCGGGGCTGCCCGCCGGCTGTCACCCCGCGGGGGACGCGCCCTGGGCCATGCTCCGCTACGACGAGGAGGCGCAGCGGTGGCTGCCGCTGGCCAACAACCTGCCCGCCGACCTGGTGAGCGTCCGCGGCTACGGCTCGGCCACGCTGGACAATTACCTGTTCATCGTCGGCGGCTACCGCATCACCAGCCAGGAGATCTCGGCCGCGCACTGCTACAACCCGTGCCTGAACGAGTGGAGCCAGCTGGCCTCGATGAACCAGAAGAGGTAACCTGTGCTCCCTGGGGTACACGCGTGTCCCTGTCTGGTGTTGAGGTAGATCCTGTTCACTCGCATGGCACTGGCTCAGCCTTAGGGATGCGATGCGGACCTGTCTGTGCTCTGAACCACCAAACAAACCCAATGAGAAAACTCCTTTCCCGCTTTCTTTTTGGTGTGTTGTAACTCCAGATAAGTGTGAAAAACGCCAATCACTTGTTTTTAAAATTTTTAAAGTTTAATAGTATTAAAATGGTTATAAAAATAGTAATACAATTAGAGTAATAAAAATTTGGACAAATTGAATTAGGACAATATGAGACAATAAAGACAAAGAGTTACGGATGGCCGGGTACCTTTTTTTGGGCAGCACAAGTCCCAAAAAGGACACCCATTAACCAAGAATTAACCCTTAAAAACAATAACCCGTTGCATATTCATACACTTCATACGTGATGCATAAATTCCATTCAAATACAGGATTCTATCTGGTCATTGTCAGCTTCTTCCTCTGAATCCTAACAGTGCCTTCAAGGAGGGAAGAAGTTCGTTTCTTCTGATAAGAGGGCAATAAATTCTTTTTCTCTGAAAGATTTAGGTGTCCTGTGGCTGCTATCTGGTGCAAATACCTCATTCCTTTCTTTTAAAAAATCCCACTAACATAGTTCTTATTTTAACTACAAAAGTTACCTTTTAATTACAAGACTACATTTATCATGTTATTAAAATGTTAATACGGCACTACTAATCAATACATCAGAATACATATGGTAAATACCTGCGTAGAGCCATATAATACGCACTTTTCACATAAGTACGTGACAAGCTTTCCTGCTCTTAGCGGGGATGTACACGCTGTACCAGAGCTGGAGATGGCCAAAACCATTTAGTTACAGCAGTTGTCCATTTCATAAAAATCTGAATGTTTTGTAGGCCTGCACTTCAGGGAAATACCAGGAAAACGTCAGGAAGATGGTGAGAAATTTCTCACTTGATGGGAATGTTTGGATCTGGGAATCATTCATCGTTTTGACAGTTTTTCTTTTTTACCTTTATCCTTTTGAACCGTTTACTGCACATTGATGTTTTAGTTTGCATTCAGAAGCACTTGTATAATTTATACTTGAAAGAGTAGTAGAGACCTAGCCTTGAGGAGCGCCCAAGAAGGGAGGCCTTCTCCCTGGCCAAGGTTGTGGCTCCTCTACCTTAGCCACACTTAGGAGTTATCAAAACAAAGGCTTTCATTTCACTGAAACCAACTGGCTTTGTTTCCAACATGAACTTCCTCTTTTGTTTCCATTTTAGTAAAAGTATTTTAAATTTTATCTTTTCTCTCTGAAAAAGTAAGGAGGCCAAAATTCACTGTAGAATGGAAATCCTCTTCTCTGTGGAGTGAATAGAAAGAGCATGCACAGAGGCCCAAGCTATTGGCATAAATGCTTTGTATCTGGGTAGTTAAACTGCAGTCTCTGTTCCTGGCTCTATTTAGCTTTTGCCACCTCTAAACCCCCTCAAAACAGGGATTAGACCTAAAATTAAGTCTTTCCCATTTCATCCTTTTCCCCCCCACTTCTTGTATTGTGAGAATTTTTCTAAAATAATAACCTCCCTAATCAGTCATCGCAACTGATCAGAAACCATTTTTCTCAGGGTTTCTGACTGCTTGGAACGGCGCTGGGAAAAGTTTCATCTGTAAAAGGAATGTTTGGCTTTTAAGCACTACAAACACCTTTTCTTACAGAACTTTAATCTTAGAGGCTGAACCTGTAGCAGAGTTCCCTGAGGTACTTGGGGAACAGAGATGTTTTAGCTAGCTTCATTTGACAGCAGGACCCGTGTGAACAGGGTTGGGAGCACTTGGGCTCACTAGAAAAGCAGGGTGGGGTCAGCCCACACAGTATCTCCGATGGAAATTAACTTGATCACAGAAGCGCCACATCGATCAAATCACGAGGTTCTGTTCCTGTGATGTCTACAGCAAGAGAACTGTTACTGTGTATGTTGACTCTGCAACGTGGGTTTTTAAAAAATAACCTTTTCAAGGCCCTTTTTGCACCTTACAGTTTGTGTATTCAAACTCTAGATCAGCCTTTTTCCCTCCACACTTTCCCTTTTTTTGTTTTTGCTAGGATGTATAATCATTATACTTGAAATAACAAACGTACTGTTTTCAATGGCATTGAACTTAATCTTCAAACCCATCAAAGTTGACAGCAAGGTGTTCCTTATGCTAGAATTTCACACTGGCCATTTACTGCAGAAAGACAGCAGGCAAATGGATATTTTTGGAATAATCTTTATTCCTAAATTCCATGGTAGTTATTGCAGGCCAAGAAGTCCCCAGAATTACACCTGCAAAGTAGCAGTGAGGATGTTGTTCCCTGAGTAACTGGGGGAACTTTTTTTCATGGAAACTCAGCTGACCCCTTCACAAAACACATTTCTGATTTTACCAACTTCACAGAGTCTCAGCTCTGCAGTTTAATTATTACTTTTTCTATCTGACATAACATGTTGGCTCCCCGATGACCTGCTTGGTGCTCCTGCAGGAGGGATGGCCTGTGCCCTAGGAGCCAGGAGCAGCACCATTTTTAACCTGAGAGGTTTGCATGCTGCATGACCAGTGCTGATGCCTGTCTGGCACACATCTGTGCTGCAATTAGAGCTGCAGTTTGCTTGGCATTGTATTTTTAGTTTGTTATGATGTAGTAAAATAAGCAGGGTGGTTGCCCAGCCTTCTGCTTAGGAATTACAGCCATGTGACTGTCTGGCAAATGAATTTATGTCAGCTGATACAATTACATCCCAAGGATGAAATTCGACATACCTTCAGGGAGGGCTCTAGTTTCCATTGAAGTTGGTTTGACTTCAGACCACAGAGGATCTGGATTTGTCCTGCATGAGTGACTGCATGTGTTGGCCTCAAAGGAAGGCTGAGGAGTTACGGATATAATTTTGCTGCTCTACTCTTCATAAAAGAGCTTTCTATCCTAAACAAACCTTTCAAGTTCTATGGTGTTTCTGTCATGAATTATTTCCATTGTTGTAATCTCCTCATGCTTAGATGAAACACTCCTAATTTACTTCTAAGTAGAAGACAAAAGCCACCTGAATGTTTAGCAGCCATTCTGGTTTGGGTCTTCACTGTTGACTTTCTTTTTAGGTGTACAGGTCTTATTACTTTAGTTTCAAACTTTTTCACAATAGGCAAGTCCTGTATAATGTTCTTGTGATGCTCCCAGGAGCTTCAGAGAGTGTTATTCCCAATTTATGCATACCCAAGGGAGCTAAAATAATGTGCTCAGGCTCACCAAGGAAGCCTGTGGCTGAGCATGGAATTTCTCATCGTCTGAGTGCTAAATCCAGTGCTGATCACAAATAGTCCACAGCAGATCAGGTTTTCTAGACCTTTTCATTCCAAGCATGTTTCTGTACTTGGAATTCTCAAGAGAGAGAATGACCTGAACTTTTTAATAGAAGCAGCTCCATGTTAGTGTTGCCCAAGATCACTTGTGGTCTTTGGAGTCAAGAAGGTAACAAAATGTTTCAGTAATGTCCTTGAATACCTTTCCAAACATTTTCTTTTTTTTTTTTTTTAAGTGAACCCTGTCTGGTGAAATTTATTATTTAAAAACAACATACTCATAGGATTTCTACTGCATGTGCCAGTTATAGGTGTATATTCCCCTTCTGTTTTCCTTCAGAACCTTCCCACTCATGGCAGGTAGATCTTCCAGGCCTGGAAAACCCATGTAAGCCCAGGCTGGAATTATGCACATGGAATATGATTTTTGTAAGCAATCTGTACCTGAACTGCTGCCACTCTGAGGACTCTTACAGGAATGTAGGAGATGATGCTTCTGGGGAATGCTGCTTGTTCAGGAGACCTTCTCCTTCCTCATTTTTTACTGCTTTTTTTTTAAATTCACTCAAAATTCATCTGTGCTGGAAGAAAATAGACTTCAAAATTTTTTTAAGTTAGAACCATCCATACCTTACCACAAATGTATCACATGCTTCTAAAGCTAAATGTTTGATGCAGTGTACTCTGTAAATTCACATAAGAAATATTAAAAAAGGGAAAAAAAGGAACTCATTGGAAATATGTAAAATGCTTTGGAATTGCTCTGTAACTGTGCTTTTGTGGTTCCTTGTCTCTGTTGTAAGTTTTAGAGCTTTAACTCTAGAATAAAGAGGTCATGTGATTTTTGAGAAATTTTAAGGTTAAATTTGGCAGGAAGAAACAATGCTGGTTACTCCAGAGCTCATGTTCTGCAGCAAGACCTAGGCTACCTTGCAAATAAATACATATTTAACTTGCTCCTGAAATCCTCCAGCAGTGTAGATTCCAACCTACACTGGAATCTTCCTCCCAGGCCTCTTGTTCCCATGTTTAGCCACCCCTCTGATCAGAAGGTCCTCCCCAGTAACTGGGCTAACTCTTTTTTGTGGTACACTAAGTGAGATTGTCAGTGAACAAAAACTGTGTGTGTCCTTCGTAGCCGCTGCCCCACGGGCTCCTGCAGACACACCTAGCACAGTGCAGAGCCATGGGGGGTTTGGGAAGCTGTGCAATGTTGTCCTGCATGCAGAAAGCCTCTCTGCTCCAGCTCCTTTGTGTGCATTGTTCTATTTTCCTTCCTTTGTGCACGCAGCGCTTTGCACTTTGTCGAGTGAGGAACGAATTTTGAGTGATGGTGAAACCCCACAGCTCCCTCTCACTGCTGTTCCTGGGCTCCTCTTCAGGGCAGCAGAAGACAGCTTGTACCTTGGCTTGTCCCAGCAAGAAGGGACCCTCTAGGCCTGGTTTTTGGGAAGTACCTCTTGATCCCTCAGGTTTAGACAAGTCACAGGTGCGAGTGGAGCTCTGTGATGGTGGAATCTGAGTGATTCGGCCCCGCTGTTTCCAGGCTGTAGTCCATGGAACAGTTGTTGGTTGTGGAGAGCTGGCTGCCTGCTCAGTGTTTGCTTTCCTTGTTTCCAGCTGCTCCAACACATTGAAAGAGACTAAAAATGCACGAAATATTTCCTAATGTGCACTCTCCATAAAGACACCTGCTGTTACTGGCATGGGAAGGTGAATGGCAGGAGTTTTTCATAACATATTGAGCCATTGTCCAAACTTTCATATGAAGTGTGCTGATGGATACTTGCAGCTACTTTTGAGTAAAATGAACCTTATTGTTAATGAATTCCATAAATCTGAGATACCTCTATTGAATGTCATCCATTTTAACGAGTGCTTGGAAGTGGTTAAATGACTGACACAAAGGTTTGTGGCCTCCTTTTAGAATATTTAAAGCTGAAAGTTGTGCTGTTTGTGTTTCAGTAGATAATTTTCCCAGTGGTTTTGCCCCTTCGTTAATTTGTGGAAATTTTTTCTCTGTCCTAACTTTTGCAATAAGTATATTGCTTTCAAAATCATAATGTTTTGCAAGTAGTTGTCCTCATTTCATACCTGCTTTTGATTGCCATGTTATTATGGATTCTCTGAAATGGAAAGCATAATTGCTATTGAGGGAATATGAACAGACTGACCTAATCGTAGATGTCAGGGGAAAAAATAAGAATAAAAAGCAACTAATTCCTCCAAAGGAGCATTTTAGTTTCCAAAGCTGTATCAGGCTGACAAGAACAAAGTGATTCCATCTGGAAACAAATCGTTTTTCCAAATAGATTTAATAAAATAAATTGCAGGGCAGTTTGCAGCTAGGCAGGGTTGATTTTATCCAGACAAAACCCTGCAAAAGTACTTAGCAGTAAGTTTTGAATGTTGGATTCCTGCAGGGTGGTACTCCCTTTGCTGCCCAGCAGGCCAGTGCAGGTCTGAAACACCGTTTCAGTTTCACAGACATAACACAGTTCCCTGTTTGGCTTTGTGCTGAGCTGGTGCACTCCAGGGACTGCCACACATCCAGTTAATTGGGATAGGAATGGTAAAATCTCAATTGGCTCAGCAGAAGAGAAGGAACAACCTTTCTAGGCAGTGAGACTGTTCCTGGGGAGAGGAAAAGCTCATCCTTTGTTAGACCAGCTGCCCTAGCTGGAAGGAAGAGCAGCATACAAGAGTTCTGTCTTCACATCCTCCAGGTTCTTCCTCCAGATCTGCACCTCTAACACCCATGGACCATTTGTTTCTGTCTGTGTTACCTTCAGGGTGTGAGATAGGAGACTTCTCATGCTTCCGAATTAGGAAGTTGCCCTTTGGCATGTGTGAATTTCGAGAGCATAGTGGAACAGACTAAGAAATAAATGACCCATTTGGAGGGCATTGCTCATGGGGTGCAATGTCATTTTTGTGCAGCTGTGGGTAGAACGTAATTTACAGCTAGATCTTGCTTCAGAGGATGTATTTAGTAGTTTAATGCTGAATAGGCTACAGAGGATTCTCTCTTCTTTCTTTTGGTGAACAGGATTCAATGTGTTCCACTATAAATTGCTTTTTTATTAGGGTTATTAAAGAGATTCCATAATATGGCTAAAACAGGTATGCATTCATAGGCATCCATCAAGCCTTGTTTGAAATTTCTGCAATTTTAACTGAAATTATATCTTTCTCTGTGTGTCCATGTAATTCACTTTTCTCTACCAGTGGCACATTGTTAAAAGCCTGATAAAAATGGCCTGTCTGCTGAGCACATTGGTTAACTGAGTATCTAGAGCTGAACTGGCACAGACTGAAATACGAAATAAAATATTCCTCAGTCTCAGCAGCATCATCAATACCATTCAAACTGTCACTGGTTACTGTCCTGAGTAATTGCAGTGTAGTTACAGCATTTTGGCCTGGCACAGGAGAGTTCAGAGGCTGCAGATACCTCAAGCAGTGGTGCAAGCTGTGAATGAGTGTGTCAGAGCCTGGGTAGGAAAAACTTTCCTCTGTATTTCTGCACGTGGATGCACCTCATTTCAGTGCTGCAATCTGTTCTTTCAGGTCCAACTTCAAGCTCCTGGCTGTCAGTGGAAAGCTCTATGCCATTGGTGGCCAGTCCCTTGCCAATGTGGAGTGCTACAACCCGGAGAATGACTGGTGGAATTTTGTGGCGTCTATGCCAAACCCTCTTGCAGAATTCTCAGCTTGTGAATGCAAGGGCAAGATCTACGTTATTGGAGGATACACTGCACGAGGTAACAAGTTTGCTGTTACTTCTTGTTGCTTTTTACCTGGTTGTTTCCAAGGCCCAGATAATTTTCTGCTGTTCTTCATGGGAGCTTTTGAACTCGTGTAGAAGGCTGCGTAATGCTGATTAAAACACATAGAAATAAATTGCTGGTAGAAAATTGTTGATGAAATAAACAAAACAAAACAATAGCTCTGTCAGTAAAGAATCAGGTGGGTTTTTCTTTTCAGAGCCTGTGTGGACCTGGGGCTCTGTTACTTGATGGGTACTTCAGCACCCAGCTTAGCCACTACCCCTTTTCTTAGATTTTGATCACACAGTAGATAGAAGTCTCAACAGATGTACTTTGCTTGCTTTTTAAATACCTGGTTTAGACTGTCAGAAGGAAAAATTCATAGAAAATATCTTCCTGCCTTAGTATTTCTCATGTATTAATAGATGTCATGGTCTTTTCACTACAGGACTTCAGTGTTTCACAGGCAAATACAAGTTATACCTTAATAATGGAAATGAATGATCAAAAGCAGAAGCAAGACCCAACACTTTCAGCTTAATTTCTATACCAAATTTTCTGTGGACACTCTACAGAGGAGAGGATTTGAAGTTTCATTCTCTTCTGACAATTACTTTTCTTTTATCTAGTGGGCAAATAAGTTCAGTTAATAAAAAAGCTTCCATTTGTTCATTCCTTAAGTACATAGTGCCATTTTTTGGGAGGAAGACATTTTCTCAGAGCTTTGGAAGTTAATTTTTTAAACATGTCAAATGTTCAGTATTTACCAGGATTTTGTAAGTTTGAATTTTAGCCTTTGACCACTTTAGTTGACCACAGCAGTTTTAAGGCTTTCTTTCCAAGCAGAGAAGGAAATTGGAAGACAGATCAGCTTTTACAGACAGTACTGCAATCAAAACTTAACTGATGTTAGAACAACCTTCTAGTGTCTGAGCAGATTGGAGCCTCTGAATCATTTTAAGATTTATAAAAGACACACTGCCACCCCTTAAGGTCCTTCTGGTAATGAAAACCCTCAAGCACATTTTGTCCATATCATTCTGACCCAGAGCCTGGTGGTTTCTGTGAGGAAAATGTGCCTGTGTCTATATGGAGAGCTGTGCTGTGCTGTGCTGCAGTCCCAGTCCTCTGGTCACCCCAGGATCTGCTGGGGCCTCTGTGCTCCCTCATGTCCAGCACTGGGACTCTGAGATGTCTGGCATGAAACACTTGTTGTGCTGAGGTGTCACATCCAAAGGGAAACATCCTGTGAGACAAGAGAATGAGGAGAAGGGGTTGAAACAGGTTAATGGGAAGCCTTATCTCTAAAAACCAGGGTTAGGGGTTTGGCATTTTTATCTAGAGAGAGAGGAAGAGGTGAGGTGAAAAAGCTCTAATTTGGTTAAGAGTGCTACACAATTAGGGGAGGAGCAGCTTTTTTCCTACACCCTCTGCACTCTGCAAGTTCCTTTTCTGATACTTGTGCTTTCATCAGGCTGCCTAATCCTGGTGTCATGAAGAGGAAGATCAGCATATTGCTGATGCAGATCCCATTCCTTTAAAACTCCAGAGCAAGGCATGTTCAGTCAGGATTGCTACCCTGTGTCAGCCTCCTGACTCAGTACTTGCTGCCTGTAGGTTTAACTAGCACATTTAGGCTTCTTTATAAATCCAGGATCACCGTGGACAACAAACACCTGTGCTTGCTATAAATAATTTCCTGAAGAAGGGTCTAGAATCAGTTTTTCTGTGACATCTTGGTAGCAGACTTAGACACCAGGATTGCCACAGTTACACTGGTGATTTTCCTTCTGAAGTATGCCAATGTCAGAAAGTGTTCAGACCTAAAGATATGAGAAACACTAAGGTTTATATGCTGGTTTGCTACCTTTACTATGTAAAACACATGCATCAATTAATTTTTTTTATTATGTTATTTTTAGTAACTTTTGGTGTTTCTGTATATACCTCAGTTTTGGTAGATTTTGTGGGCTGATTTTAAATTTGTGTAGAGCTTTCTCCTGAGACTGCACTTTCCAAGAAATGGCAGGATCTGGAATTTCCCACTATAAATTATAATGACACTTCTTGAATAGAGTCCTTCTCTTGAGTCTGCAGCCCTCACTTCTGAACCTAGATCCTAATAGAAATTCCATGTCAGGCACTGGAGTGTTCATATTTTGTGTTGTGGGTTTTGTTTTAGGGTTTTTTGTTGTTTCAGTGGATATAAAAGACCCAGGCTGTGGACTGAGCATGTGAGGGCCATGTTGCAATGGACTTCTATTTCATACACCTCCTCTCAAATAGCACATTTTCCAGGGGAAGTTTACTGCTATAGATAGTCATAAAACTTAATTGGGACTTCTCCTCCCCTTAATGAGTCAGAGAATGATAGGTTGTTTGTAGACAAAGGTCATCTATATGTAGAGCTGTAGTTTCACAGAGCACTGCCATGAAAATAATCAGGGTGCAAATGCTGGATGGAGCAGCACCTCCCTGATCATGCCACTGATGCACTTCATTCACGACAGTCCAGTTATATTTCTGGCTATTTATACCTGTGCCCTCACAGAACCTGTCAGTGTGTCCCTGTCTGCTCTTCCCCCTGGGAGCTCATCTGGAAGTAACCATGCAGGACAGACTGGTACCATGGAGGAGATTTAATAAAAGACCTGTCTAGAGTCTGCAAACCTGTTCCTGCTTGTCACTTGGGGTTGGATTTGAGCTCAGGTCTCCAGAGACTGGAGAGAGACTGAATTTATTGAGTCATGTGCATTCTGTGATAATATAATGAAGCCTTGGGCACAGCCAGGGTCTTCACTGCACCATAAATCAGGGTGGCATTATGATGTTTTGTGGAATAACCCTATTGCAAACATGCACACACTGAGTTCTGAATTATGGAGATGATTTCCTGGTTCTTAGATGATTTTGACAATGCGTGTCTCTCTCTTTACAAGGTGCCCTTAGGTCATCCAGACCACTTGCTGAAATGTAACCAGCTTTATAAATTTTATTCCATAAAACTTTGGAAGTGAAATGCGAAGTAGTGAAACATTAAAAGTAATGAAACATAAAAATGTAACTGAAACATGGACTGAAATGCGAAGTATCAGAGTTAAGCTTGGATGATAAATCATCACTTGGCAGCCATTAATGAAGTGTACTCTCTTCATGATAGTTTGATTCATCTGTGACCACTTCTGGAGATGAGAATATTGCTCCATTTCCCTCTTTATAAAAAAATACTTATATATCAATCAGAGACAAAATTAAGAGCATAAGCTGAAAGGTAGGGATTAGATTCTGCTAAAATCTGCGGGCCCAGACAATTTACAGCATGTAATATGCCAGAAGTAGCATCATTTTTGTCCTTTGTGCCAGGGAACAGAACGTTCAAAGTTTCTTGTCAAGGGTAAAGAGCTGCAGTTGTCAGTGATCGCCATTTCTCCCCTGGCTTGCCCTTCAAGTGCGTGAGCAATCTGCAGGAAAGGCTGGGAAAGGAAAGAAAAACACTCCCCCACAAGTGCCTTGTGACAGAATTATTGATTTGTGAATGTCTCCTCTCTGTTCCAGGCAGGAACATGAGCATCCTGCAGTACTGTCCCACTTCTGATTCCTGGACCAACTTGGAGCTGTGCGACGTGCACGTGCGCAAGCAGCAGATGCTGTCTGTGGAGGAGACCATCTACCTGGTGGGGGGCTGCATCCTGGACCTGGGACCCAGCCACAGATCCAGCCCCAGCGAGGACGTGCTGACCGTGCAGTCCTACAACATCGCCACCAAAGAGTGGCTCTACCTCAATGAGAACTCATCGAAATCCGGCCTTAACTTGACTTGCACGCTGCACAACGATGGAGTCTATATCTTGAGCAGGAATATTACTCTGTCCTCCAGCTTGGAGCAGCGGCTCTTCCTGAAGTACAACATCTTCACGGACACTTGGGAGACCCTGGGGCGCTTCCCAGCCTTTGGACAGAACATTCTGATCTGTTCTATGTATTTGCCTGATGGGCGAAAAGTGTAACAGCACCAGGGTTTTCTTTTCAGTTCATTAATGGTTCTTTGATGAAATATTGCTGCCTCTGAATATTTCCATTTTCAGAATGTCATCTGGTTGCATAATGCAGGCATAAAATACTGATTCTGTTCTCTAAAAAGGTTTCACAATTCAGTACGAAGAGAAATGCTTCCAGAAACAGTTTGAAGATGGGGATTTGAACATTTTACTAGTTTGGATTAAAATTTCACCTGGTATTGTTTGCAATTTAAACATAAAATTATTGTGTTGGCAACTGATACAGGAGTTCCAAAGGCAAAAATGATCAGTCTGGTTTTATTCTTCGTCTTAGTAGACAGCGTAGAACAAAACATACACATTTTAAAAGTGGAAATAATTCAATAAAGTAAATAATTAGTATAATCAAAATCACAACAGGATTTATTTATTTCAAAATACAGTTTTTACTTAAGCAATGTTCTGTCAAATGCGCACTGTTTCAGATTGTTTATACTATCTCATTTTTATCTCTTCCATGGCAGCAAGTGAAATTGTCAAAGGTGCCAGCAATTGGGATCCTATCAAGAACTTTCTCTGAATTATTTGTAGTGCAATGCTTTGCCAGACACTGATAGGAGTTACCTAGAGACTACAGTCACTGATTGGAAAGTAGATGCTCCTCTAATGGAAGTTGGCAGCATTTCTTGCTACTATTAAGATAGAGGTAAAAAGGCTCTTTATTCAAAGGGTGGAGTTTCCTAATTGTCATAAAGGTTTGAGTCTTAGTTACCTTGTTGTGTTCTGTGGTACTTAAAAGTGACTTTTAAAGATCAAATTGCAGTGGCAGCAAGCTGTGTGTCGTGAAGATGTCCCTGAGCACATGCAGGGGTGATCCTGCTCCAGGCACATCCTGATTGGTAACACTCCTGTGGGACATGCATGGAAGGCTTGGCTCTCATAAATGACTCCCTGAACATGTCCCCCAGAGCAGGGACATGTGAGTGTTGGCTCTTTCTTGTGTCACCAGGGAAGGTTGCCTCAGGTTTGCCACCCAATGCTGTACTTGTGTAAAGGGCACTGTAAGGTGGTCACTGTGAGCTCTCCTCTGTGGGGATCCTGCAGTGGATACTGCAGGAGCTTCTCCCAGTTCCTGCCTCTTGCCTGACAGAATTGCAGCCACAATTGGTCCCTTTTCTCCTTGTAGCTCACAAGTGCAAAAGGTCTGCTTGAGGAGCCTGCCCAGCTCTGGAGAGTGTGTCCTCACAACAAGGAGAGAAGCTCTCATGGTGGGTCACCATGAGAAGAGCCAGGTTAGACATGTGCTAAACACATTGCAGGGATGCTGGTTCTGTGCCAGCTGTTCATCCATATGGGATTTAAAGCACCTCAACACATTCCTAATGTGTTGACATGTAATTTTTGTTTCTTCATTAGAATTCAGGAATCTGAATCTTTTGAAAACAGGGGTCTGTTTTACAGAGGATGGGGCAGCAATGGTTCCCTCAGGGTCCTTGTAACTCCTTGCTTTTCTACAGTTTTGAATGAAATCTGTTCTTGCTAAAGGGTTATCAGTCTTAAAGTGCCTTGCCAATCACTGCTCACACATTAATCTTGGTGCTTCCAATCACCTGTAGCAAGCCAAACAGAAAATCCCAGTAAACTTCTCCAGAATGAGGGCATTTGTTTTTGAATACTTTCAGGATGAAACCAACCACAACACAAGGTATTTTGGATGTCTGAGATTTACCTTTTTGAGTGGAACTTTTGCAGCCTGGTGGAGAATGTCCTGCCTCAGCCCAAACTGGTGCTTGCCACTCAGCTCTGTATGACTTCAATTAGCTAAGTCCATGTTGATGTGTTTTTATTTCCTTTGAAGGCATTGTGTAACTGCTGTGTTTTGACAGCAGTATCAGACCACACAATTACTCTTCTGCAATGAAGCAATTAGGTGATTTTCATAAGATGCTTTTTCCAGAAGTGTTTCAGAATAAATATAAGCAGGGTGCCATTGCCTGGTGATAAATGATCTCAGTCACGTTATGCTACTTGCTTTCCTAAATTTTCAGTTCCAGATTCAGTACTCTGTAGTCAACTGTGACCAGTGTTGGTGGAGGGAATCACATCCAAGTCACAATATTCTCTTTCCTAGCAAATTAACCAAGAAACCCTGTCACTCTTGGGTTTGCAGTGGGGTGTATCAAATCAAGACCTTTCAAACCCATTCATTTCTTAGTGCAGTCATAATTCCAAAAACTATGACATCATCTTCTTGGTGTGATTGCTCTTTTTCAGAAGAGGCCTTTCCACGCTGGGTTTGTCTTGGTTTCAACTTCCAGCAATCAAGTGACCACCTTGAAAACCTCAAATGCAGAAGACAAAGCTGTGTCTGACCATAAATACAGTCAGACCCTTTTGTCAGTCCATGGTGCAAATGCCTCCTACACTGACATCTGGCAGTACTGCAGTCACAAATCAAAACTGGTGTTTAATTTGGTGGTAGCATTAATTAGTGTAAGAATCTAAATGTACTCCATTACTATAGGCTGAAATAAAAATAAATGCTTTTTTTTTAAACAAAATGCTTTACAGAAAAGTATGCAGTGTGTGTGGCCCCATACCTCAGGAAAGAAACCAAATACTGTAATGAGTGTCTCGTGCCCTGTTTATTTTCTTTCTATCAGTTTTATACTTCATATTTACTTTTTATATTTTGGGGCAAGGAATAGTGTCTGAGAGCCACTAACAGAATAATTAAAACACTACTTTTTAGCCAGTGGAAATGTTCAGTGATCTGGTGTGCTCTCCTTTGGTGGTGGGAGGAAATTTGAAATTTCTTGATTTTAGAAGTAGACAAAGAGTCCTTGCAGTGTGATCAACTGGAAATTTCTCTGTTGCCCTCATGTTGCTCCAAACTCACCATGTGGGCTTGGAGAGATCCTTCCTGCTCCTGGCACCTGCATCTCCAAAAGAGAGTGAGGAGGGATGTTCATCTTGTGGGAACACAAGGGTCATCTGGTATGTAGTGTTTTGAAAGAGTTCCTGAGCATGACAAGTACATTTGTCCTCAGTGCTATCACTGCCACTTCCTTGGCTAGTCAGACCGCTTCAGCAAGCGCTAATTACTTCAACCTCTGCTAATTACCTCTAATTTGAACTATTGGCTCTTTCCAGCCTGTTTCTTTCATTCCTTCTTTCTTTTTTTTTTCTATTTGGTCACCCAACAGTCTGTAGTTCATCTAAGTTTCCTGGTCTTGGTGTTCCCAAGTCTGTATCCAACCTCCCGACCGCTGCTTTCCTGCTGTGTCTGGGTTATCCAGTGCTTTATGTCTCCACTATTTGTCTTCTCTGCCTCATGGACCAGTTCCCTGTGATACTGACCAGCAAAAGCTGACTATGGTAGAGGATGATCCCGAGTTGAAAGAAAGAACAGCAGCCCCCAAAGTCCTGGGGGAGGAGTAAAAGGAAAATTCTGGGAACTCAGTCCCTCCTCGTAAAATGCAGAAGCATTTGAGAAGGTTGCTCACATCAAGGCTAAGAGGGAGCATAAAAGTTTCTTCCTTTCTGGGAATGGTTTGTGGTTTTCAATGTGAAATAAGAGTTGTGTAGGGCTTAAGTTTAATCTCTCTGGCTGCTTTCCATGGGTTTCCCTTTCTGCCCCGTCGGCCGACCTCTCTTGAGCTTAATATCTGTGTTTCACATTCTTTGAGGATTTTGCCTTTCTACATCAGTGTCCAGCCCATTTTGCTGAAATCATATGCTAGCAGTTTGTTGGTTGTTTCTGTGTGTTGCTCTTCTTTTCACACTCATCTGTGTCTGTCACAAAGTAGTTTGTAATTCAGATGTAACCTTTTCACTTTGTCAATTTTGGGCTCTGGGAAGAGAAACCTCCAAAGCTACAAATGTTCAGTTTCCTTTCATCCTCATTTCAGTGAGAAGTGATGCTGCAGGCACTCAGTTTGTGGGAATTGGTCTGTGTCCATGACAGGATGGAGAACGGAGGGCACGGAGTGTAACAACATTTTTTGTTTATTTAACACATAACATGCTCAAAGCCCCCCATGTGCAGAAGTTACTCCTCCCTGCCATCCCTGTGAGGGAAGATACACTCTGTAACGAGTGTTAAACCAGAGACACCCTTGGAACAGCTGTTGGCAAGACCAGCAAATTTATAGGTGTTCATCAAGAGCCCTCCTCAGAGGGCAGAAGCTGTCAGAGTGTGTGGATAAATTGATTTTGCACTTAGAGCAGTGACCAAAGGGTGGCTCCCTAGCCCCACAGTAAGGCTTAGGAGCCAGAGCTCATGCTCTCAGACAGAAAATTTAAACCCCTTTACAGTCATTCTCGGACTGTGGTTTCCATCTAACCAGCTTTGAGCCTAGTTTAGTACAACCTCTGGGTTGGTTTTGTTATCTTTTTATTTCCTGAGAAGGAGAGTGGAGTTGGGAAAAGGAGTCTGGATTTTGTGAACTGATAGGGATCATGTATTCACAGATTTAAAATCACTCTCCCAGTTATACATGCTATATGGATTATTTTCTAAAAGCAGTGACATTACCAGTAAGCACATGCTGTTATCCTGTGAATATCAGTGTTGTCTAAAGTAAGATTTGGTTTCTTTTTTGCAATTAGAAGAGCAAACCATTGCAATTCCCGTATTTTTCTAGTGGAAGGCTGATTATACAGGGTCCAGTTTTAGAGTGCCCAGTTACATCATGTGCTGAACATCTTCAACCTATAAATGCTTCAAGAGGAGAGAAAGACATTCAGCACCTTAGCAAAGATGTTTCCTGTTTGTTGGTACTTAGACCATCACTTAAGATTGAGCAGTGAATACAAACTCTGAATCATCCCTCCCTCCCTCCACTTTTCAGCTGAAATTTATGATTATTCACTCAGGTGATTTTCCACTCTCTGATATTTTCCAGGTGTATTAAGGGGTGTGTCTTGTGATAAGAACACCTTTTATAAATAATTTTCAGCATCTCCAAAATTACTTTCTGGTAAACTCTATAAACTCTATAAACTTTCTGGTTTATAAGTCATGCTTTTATTAGGCATGCTTTGAAAAATGGTTTTGTAGAATTTTGAGTACTTTTCTGTACTTAGTATTGAAAATATCAGGGATTTCAACGGTGTAAGGGCAGGGAAATATCTGTAGCTCTTCAAGGGCACGACTTCAGCTGTGCAAGGTCTGAAATGTAAAATGTGTCATTACTTCATTTCCTCTGAAACTTTTTCTAATTTGCAGTTAACTAATTTAATTGAGTTAATTTACTAATTTTAAGTTTTACACCATTCACTGAAGTAAAAACACTTTTGATTGAGCAGTGGTTTTGGAGGTGATGTTAAAAGGGCTCTGTCTTTGGATATTGTTATTACCATTTACTTTTTCTACTGGGGCCATTATAATTGTCTGGTATCCCACTGAATCCCTTTTCATTTGGTTGTAAGGGAAGTTTTTGCCCACAGGTAGGGCCTTGATTTATTATGAAGACCAGAGCTGTGTCATTTGAGAAAGTGTATTTTGAAGCTGTAAATTATTGATTGATGATAACTGCAGTGAAGCCCAGAAATACATGATTTTGGGTGGTAGGGGTGGAGATTAAGCTAGGAAAGAGATGCTTAGGGACAGCCACTCTTTAATGTCCAGGCATAAGTAGTTTTCAATTGCAGAAGCAGACAGAAATGGTTTTAAAATAACAACTCCTTTTTACCTCTCCCCATCTCTTCTGCTGCAGCCCAAACCTTTCCAGTCACAGTAATTTGTGGCAAGACATCTGTACTT